CTTACATATTCTTCCCAGCCAGCGTTACTGCATCTGCAACCCCGGTGTGGTGCGACAATTCAGGAACCCCGACACCATCTTCATCCTTGCCTTTGCAATCATCCTCCTCAACACTGACATGTACAGCCCCAACGTCAAGCCTGAGAGGAAGATGAAGCTGGAGGACTTTGTTAAGAACCTTAGAGGTACTTTGTTCTCCCTCACTGCACCACATCCGACTTTCTGTCACAAAACCAGTATTCCCCTGACGCATTACTGTTTCTCTGAGGATAAATATTCATCTTAAAATTGAGTTTTGTGCATGCACATTGCCTTGATTAATGGCCATGTCAATAAGGTATTTATTTTTTTTGGAAGTCATGGCCAAGAAAGCTTTCCTGTCGAAGCAAAGTACTTTTTAGTTGTCCCCAACAGATTTTGAGGGTATTAGGAAATGGCTTTATGGCATGACTGAATAATTTTTCTGCCTATTGAAGTGTCTGTAATTAAAGTACAGTATTGAATGGAGGAGAAAATACTTTGAAGGACGTTTCTGTATGTATTTTGAGATACATAAGCAATGCAGCAAGTAAGTATATTTAGAGGTTTGGCTTGCATAAATCTGCAATTTAATCATTAATCCCTCTTTTTTTCTCTATTTCTCTTTTCCTCTTATCCCCCGGCAGGAGTCGATGATGGGGAGGACATCCCCCGAGAGATGCTCGTAGGGATATACGAACGGATTCGCAAGCGTGAGCTCAAGACTAATGAAGACCACGTCTCCCAGGTTCAGAAAGTGGAAAAGCTAATCGTTGGAAAAAAGCCAGTAAGTTGGAGTTTGACCTTGGACAGCTACATGTGAAGTGTGACTCCTTTTCTTTTAAAAACCTCCACTCAAGAGCTGAATCCAAGCAGGAGCATTAACACTAAATTACCCAGTGTGCCTCTGAGCTGCTATAGTGTGCTGGTTAATTCATGGCCAACTTTCTTCACCGTGTGACTCTTCAGGGCTACTATACCATTGTGCATTACTGCAGTATGTTGTTTGCCCCGAGTACCAACCACAAGAAAAGCCTGAGCTAACAAGCTGTGTAAAAATGAGATAAACAGCCTCGCTCATAATGATCTTGAAGCCGTTTATTTGAAAACTACTTCTGTGAGTCGATACCTGAGAGATGATCCTTATGATGTCACGACCATTATGGAGGACGGAGTCGGAAAAGAGGAAAGTGAAGGATTCTGGCAGCGTGGTTCTGTCATCCGTAAAACTATATAGGTTTTTAATTTGGTCATAAACATTGCTTGAAACTTCTTATCATTCTTGTTGCATACATTTTTACATGTGTCCCTCAAGCTCTGAAATGTGTTTTGTTTGATTTCTTACTCCTTAGATCGGCTCTTTACATCATGGTCTTGGCTGTGTAAGTATTTCCTTTCAATTATTTTCATATTAGCACTGAGTGGGATTTTTCTGTTATTCCTCAAGGCTGTATGAGGCATAAAGTTTGAAGCAGCATGTTTGAAAGCTCTCTGTGAAGCACCAAGAGACAGAATAAGAAATTATGCTGTATTGTATTGTGCAGGTACTATCTCTACCCCACCGGAGACTGGTCTGTTACTGCAGACTTTTTGAAGTGCCCGACCCCAACAAACCTCAAAAGTTGGGCCTGCACCAAAGGGAGATCTTCCTTTTCAATGACTTGCTAGTGGTACGGCAGATGTTACTTTCAGTAAAAAGAGAACAAACTGTGTTTTAGAGTGAAAGAGTCTTAAAAAGAGCGCCTGCTTTGCTTTTTTCACAGGTTACAAAAATCTTCCAGAAGAAAAAGAATTCTGTGACGTACAGCTTTCGACAGTCCTTCTCTCTTTATGGCATGCAAGTCCTCCTCTTTGAGAATCAGTGTAAGTAGTATTTGCATGAAGCACTCACTGTGTTATAGTTGTGTGTCCACTGAGTCCCCAGACCCCTTAGTTCTAGGAACTAATGTTAGAGAACCACAAGTTTCTTCAGCCCTGTTTTTGGTCTGATCTCATAACGCAAATTGATTAGCGGACATTTTAAGAAACTATTACTTTTAAACTGCATCTTTTTAAATTTTTATTACGAATGTTAAAGCTGACTTTCTCATTGTAGGCTGTTGTGTCAAATTTCATTTCATTTGATTCGTTTTTATTTATATAGCACCAACAAAAGTCATGCTTGAAAATCCAGTTTGATGCCTTTCTATGCAAAAAATTACAGTTCAGGACTTCCTCTGTAGCTCCACGACTTTTCAAAGCTAAGCGGGCACAAAAAATAACTGTTTGCAGTTGCAGGTTCTTATAAATGGCCAATGGGCACTAGTGGGAAAATACAAGGATACAAATTAACAAAGTCAAAGATCCCAAATGTTCCATCAACAGAACCTCCTAAACAAGGACTGTTTGAAGGTTAAACTCTCGCACTTAAACTTAAGTCAGAACATGGTTCCTTTAACAGAAATCCCAATGGGAAAGTCTATTGGAAAGTTCCTTTTTGATGGATAACAGCCAACCTCAGAGCTTGCCATCATGGAAACTTTGAACTTTGAAATATATCTATAATTCAAAGTCACATACTCCACATACACATACTTTAATATCCTAAATCTGTTGTCTCTGATGGTAGTTCTGATATCCTGCAGCTGGTTCCTATTATGTCCTACTGGTAACATCAGTGCTAACTCTCATAGACTTCAATAGTATAATGTCTGAAATGTCATTTTCATCGTTCTTTAGACTATCCCAATGGCGTTCGCCTGACTTCAGCCATTCCTGGAGCTGATATCAAAGTTCTCATCAACTTCAACGCACCCAATCCTCAGGACCGCAAAAAGTTCACTGATGATTTGCGAGAATCTATTGCAGAAGTCCAAGAGATGGAGAAGTACCGGATAGAATGTGAGTAAATAGTTCCCATTTTTTTATAGACGATATCAGCAGCTGTCTCGCATCAGTAGAAAATATGTGGAAGCCAAGAGTATATGGCACATATGTATTTTCTCCTTTGCACAGCTGAGCTAGAAAAACAGAAGGGCGTGGTGAGGCCTAGCATGTCCCAGAGCTCCGGGTTAAAGAAGGATGCAGGAAATGGAAACCTGAGCCGAGCAAGCCTCGACGACAGCTATGCCATCGGTGAAGGTCTGAAGAGAAGTGCCCTCAGCAGCTCCCTACGCGATCTCTCAGATGCAGGTAAAGTCAGAGGTTGCCATAGTAACATGCTGTCTCATCCCTCATCTAGGCTGAGTAGATTGTGTACCTGTGCTATAGATGCTGGCATGACACTGTTTACTCCTTCTGGATGTTAATCGATTTAGAAACTTGGAATACGGCATGGCGGCCATCCTGCCGGTACAGAGTGTCTGAGCCGGTGAAGCAAGGAGATAGAGATGGGTGTGTTTGCTAATGGGCCTACGTACAATTTACCAGAGGCTATCAACTAATAATCCTGCATCGCGAGGGGGAGGAGGCAGTGCTATGTAGGTCACTGTGATCAATTTGAGAGTCTTAGCAGTAAGAGGAATTAATGTTACCATTCAGGCGGGGTGTAGACAGCCGGCTCTGCACAGGCACACTCAATGACCTCAAAGTGAGGAAGCAACCTCGAAGACTGAAGTGAGCTGTCGTTTTTTATCAGTGTGTCTTTTTGGTAAATGAGGGGACAGCCTTTAAATGCCTGATTAATGTCTGGATTTCGGAAGTCTAGATGTTCTCGAGGAACTTTCTCTATCTTTAAAGGGGAGCTCTACACATCTACAAGTACCAGTTATGAGGAGAGCCACAGTTTTGTGGGTGTCATAGTTCCTTTGCGAATTTTAGACCATCAGCCTGAGTCAGTAACATTCATTGACATTCCTTAGTGACATTGAGTTTAAAACACTGAATATTGCTTATAATTGCATATTCTAGCCCCTGATTTCACCCAGTCTTTTGTAGAACTGTCCCTTGGGAGTCTTTCATCTTAATGGACATGAGCATCATTTTCTTGCAGTCAGATCAGTTGTTTTGCTGATGGGAAGGTTTCCTGCCAGCAGTGACTCAAGTTGACTGCACAGATTTATCTCTGACCTTGTTTCGGAGCAGTGTCTTGTTCCTTTCCCATTTCCTTTAGTTCTTATTCGCCTCCCTCCGCCACGCCACCTGCTAGCCGCGTACCGCTTTAGCGTGTTAGCATCCTGCCGTCGCAGACAAGAAATATGTGCACCTCCATATTTTAACCAGGCATGTCTTATCTGTCATGTTACATGTTCTGGGCAGGCAAGCGTGGGAGACGCAGCAGTGCAGGATCACTAGACAGCAATATGGAAGTAAGTTTGGATCGACTGATGCTGAGCTGTCCTCCGACTTTACGTCGCTCACTGTGATCACAAGTTTCTGTTTCATTGTTTCTTTGTAGTGTTTTTCTCTCTTTTTTTTGAGTGTCTGTGTTTTAGTCGTGAGCATATTGGCTGCTGTGCATGTTTTGAGTAGAACGGGAATGATGTTGCATCTAGCATGTTAACCCTTCACGTACACAGCATGGCACGACTAATAAAGTCCTGACAGCTCCGTTGATGATCGGCTCTTACGTTTGAATTATCTTGGCTTTTGTAGTGGGAACAGTTTTTAGCCATTACCCGAATGTTGTCCTTTTTTTGATCACTCAGGATGATCCTGACAGCTCTACTGCATGCTGACACAGTTTGACGTTTCTGTTACAGACCTCTGACATCAACAAGAAAGTCCTGTCCTTTCCTTTTTCACTGTTGCACTTATCCAACATAGAGGATGATATGTTGTACCTACTCAGAACTCTGAACTTCCTCCAGTTTGTGCTCCAGTCCAGTGTTCTGCCTTTGTATTACAGGATAATATGGAAGTCTTTGTTTGTATTGATAACTTATGTTAGCAGATTCAGATGAGTAATTCAAAAATAAAAAAATGATACTGTAAATTATAAAGTAATGAGAACATGACCTGGTCTGTTTTATATATGGCTGACAGAGTTAACTTTAATGATTTGAGACTAGCATACATTTTTAGTTTACTTCAATGCTAGCTTGAATCTAACTATTACTACACAAGTCCCATGAAGAGATACCGCAACTTACTATTTCTCCATCTCTGAAAAACGTCAGACTAGATTCAGAATCACTGGGAATGAAGCATGATCGCTACGTTACTATTTTTTTAAATGTATTTTATGTTGTAGAACAGAACACAGAAATATTAAAGGCTTTAAAACACATTTACTTTGAGTTTACACCATCCCTTCTCCCCCAAGCTGTGCTGGGGGTTTCTTCCTGTTAAAAGGGAGTTTTTCCTCCCCATTGTCACCAAGGGCTTCCACATAGGGGGTCATCTGATTGTTGGAGTTTTCTCTGTATTTTTGCAGTCTTTACCCTACATTATATCGTACTTTGAGGTGACCGTTGTTGTGATTTGACGCCGTATAAATAGATTGATTTAAATTCCTTCAGCACTATAAACCAACATCACAAGTCAGTTAGTTCCAGCTCATTTGTTTAACTTTTAAAAACAGTTCACAACTACCCTTCCTTGTCATTTAAATAAAATGCACTACCTTCAAAGCACGCTGACACCATCGCAAATCATTCTGAATATTATGCAACTCTGTTAATTTAGCAGTATTCATGTATAGAAACACACGTGTAGATCATAATTAAATAGGCTGAATTTTTGGATTTTGAAGATCATCTATTATTAGTTCATTGTGCACTTTATGCATGGCTTTATTAATTTTGGTTAGACTGTGTTGTATTTATCTTGTGTTATATTTATTGTTTATTGTGTGTTTTGTGCTATGAAAATGTAAAGAAAATGTACAAATTAGTTCTTCACCAGGCTTGGGGGAAATTTCTGTTTTAAATTAAAGACAGTAAATCTAAAAGTATGAGCTGCATGCAAATGGCAAAATGCCTTATTCAGGTCTGCAGGGTCAGATTGTTTTTACATGTATTTAGAGAGCTCAGAAACCAGAGGTAGGAGTGATGAAAACTCACAAAAGCATCTGCTGTCAGAGCTGAAGACGTACAAGCTGTGTGTGTACTCATGACAGCGCAGACACTGCGGGCTCTGACAGGCTCGGCAAGCTGAGCCTCCAGACCATTTCGGGAGAGTGGAGCGTGAGATGTTAGCATGGATAGACAAACAAAGGCAGTGAACTGGAAAAGGAAATGGAGATGCTTTTCCACAAGGCAGCACAAGCAATCATGGGAGATTTGAGATCAGCTGTAGCTGGTCATGTGGTCGGTGGCGCTGTGAAAAGAACTGAGCGAGGCTGCGCACGCTGCAGAGCATACGAAAGTGCAGGTGTGCGTTTGTCTGCTGCGGCTCTCGTGATTGTCTGTGTGATCTGACAGCCTTCTCTCTTGCAGGGGTCCATCATTAGCAGTCCTCACATGCGGCGGAGAGCCCCCTCCAGCCGAGACTGCCCATCCCGTCACAGCGCCCAGTCCCTGCCCAACTCTTCCTCGTTGCTCGGATCGTTGTTCGGCACCAGGCGTGTGAAGTCGCCCAGCCCCACCCCTCAGCCCCAGCTGCACCCTACTCTCATCTCCCACACCCCGCACCCAGCCAACCTGCACCACACAGCCCGCGTGGAGACGGAAGGACCGGTGCCCATGCACCCGCACCACGCCCAGTTCTGCCACATGACCCAGAACCCACCCCCTTATCACCACCATCACCACTACCACCCGCCGGCCCACTTGCAGCACCCACCGCACCAGTACCACCCTCCCCCGTCTCACAGCCAGCAGCAGCCGTACCCGGCTCATCCTCACGGGCCCCACGGGCACGGGAGCCACCCACCGCACTCCTCCACCCACCCCACTCACGGCCCTCCCCACCACCACGGCGCGCCGCCACCATCCTCCCAGGGACCCAGCAGCACCAAGCCCAAGCACAGCGGCATCAGCACAGTGGTGTGAGGGGCAGGGCGTCCTCTCTGGACCCTGCAGCTGAACTTTTTCCTCCCGGGCTGACATGATGGTGGCACTGTGCATCGCCGGTCTGGGGCTACGAAGCCAGACGAGATCCCGTTGTGCCTCCTTCGGATTTTTTTTCCTTTCTTTTAGAGCCGCTTCTGTCATTTTGTTTCAGGACATAAGACACGTCTACCCGCTTCAGGAGCAGCAGACAAGAGCATGCACAAAGACCACAACTACTGTTTGTTTCTCAGTAAACTACCGGAACTCGCTTACTAGTATTTTACACAAGAAGTACATATTAATCTTCACACAGTAACTTTAAACGTTGTCAAGACGGTTTGGCTGAACAGACACGAAGACGACAGCTCAGCCGTGGCTGTGCAAGTATTTAATGTAGCAGTAGCTCACAGTGCACTGTGATATCTCTGTTAGCAGTGATAAATGTGCCAATTATTAAAGCATTTACTAATTTAGTCACACAGATTGCTTTATGTATATTGTGCATAGTATTTTGTAAAATAATAATATCAAATGTTATTATTATAGTTATTACTACAGAACAAACAGCATCGATGAAAACTCTCAGTATTATACTTGCACATAGATGGCGTAGTTTCACTGTTAAGAAACCAATCGAAGCTTTTCTTAGTTAGGCAGTCGGACGCGAGAGTACTGCTGTGAATGGTTGCCTTTGAGCTAGAAGTTAGATTGTTGAGGGCTGCTGCACTCCAGCCTGCCTACAGTCTCATCCACTGCACGTGTCTCCGGGCCGGAGCTCTCTCTCTCTCCTGCTCTGGAAAGCAAAGGAAGCCAGCGGCGCTCGCTGCTTGCCTGCCCTCCTTTTATTTTTTTAACTATTTTTTTAGAATCCAATGAACAATACGAATATATAAAGGCTGTCCTGCAGCCTGGTGGGACTCTGCAAGTCTGTCCTGCAGGGGGAGGAGGAGGATGCTGGATGTTTTTCATGTGGAAACTTAAAGGAGAAACTGTGCAGCAGGGAAACACGTCCCACTGTGGAAGCTCTCAGCTGGCTGAGCGTGCCCTCTTCGGTTTCCCCGTGCGTCTGCTGGGACGGCGAGCGTGCCGTAACTGACTGTTTTGTTTTGTCTTGAGGTTTTTTCCCTGGGATGGACGCCACAGAGCAAAAATCAATAATTATCATTCTGTGATGGTGACAGCGCCCTTGTGCTTGACTCGTTACGGAGAGCGGTTTTATATCAATCATCTTTCTGACATATTATGGGATGGCTGGTTGTACCTCCCGGTCATCCCGTGCACAGTATCTGTGGTGTGTGTGTGGAGCGGAGGCAGGGGGGGCTGCTGTCCTGGAGCATATTTTCTTTTTCTGAAAGCGGCAGATGCAGCGCTCATTCGACATCAGCTGATATCAATGGCAGGAGTTAGTCTGTATCTGCTTAAAGACTGTGAGATGCATTTTTTTAAACTAGTGCAATATGTATTTACTGTTTTTTGTTGTTGTTGTTTGTTTTTGTCGAAGAACAAGTTCAATCTGTTGGTCGTTCTGTTAGTTTCGCCCTTTACTTTCTCCCTCCGGCGTCCTCTGGCATTTCTTTCTCAGTGTTTCAGTGAAGTGCAAGTATCCACATGGATTTGGAGGAACTGGACCTTTCACACTGATGCAGAGTGTCACAGAAAAGAACTGCATGTAACCTTATATCTTGAGGCTATTTTCAAACTGTGTACTCCCAAACTATATCAGTGTTACAGTTGACAGTTGTTTAAAAAAAAAAATGGTAGAATAGTTTTGACTTCTTCAAATACAGCTAACCGAAGTCAGCGATGTGTTCATGTCACTCCAGACGATAAGTAACCAAATCTGTATTTTAACCCGATCCACATGCAGTACAGTAGTTAAACTGGATCGTTAGTGTTCAACTGTAGTTAAAGCAGGACCTGATCAAAGCTGTAACGGGGAAAGCTCTGTGTATTCTGTCATTTGAAAATCAGAGTGATAATCGATTATTTAAAAAGGAAACTTTTATCTTCACATTTTCTCTCTGTCCGTCAGCGGCGCACACGTTACCGTTTTCACGTGGTGTCCAGTAGATCAGTATTCTTAAATATATATGCCCTCAATTAAAGCCACACTTTATACTTGCTTCATAATGTTTGATTGATTAATACGCTTAGAAATGCTCTTTGTATTCATTATAAGACAACTTTTGGGTTGCCAAGTTCTGGAAAGTGTCTTGTGGCCTAATGTTTACCCAGTTATACAGGAAATTACACATTTTTATGATATACTATAAATTTTTAAGGTTTCTCTCTAACAGTCTAGTAGTTTACACATTCACCCAACAAGCCAAACGTCCCCTCTTCAATCCAGAGAAGAGACACAGATCCCTTGGTGTTTGTGTAAGGACGGGCATCAAACGTGAGGCGCTAACTGCTTTGGCAAAGAGCAGCCAAAAGTAGCTTTTTTCCCCAGGAATCCGTAGTCTGCAGCTGACTGATTATTATAAATGGTATTTGTTACACTGTTTTTTTAGCTCTCTGCTTTTATTGCAGTAGCTTTGCATGCTTTTCACTGTTCAGAATAATCCATGTTTACATACTCAGTTTAGCGCTGTCTGAAACAAGCAGTTACAGCTCTGTTCTCCTTCTTTTTAAGCCATTTAGTTTCTGATTGGCTGCACAATGTTATCAGTATATAGATTTTCAAATGTAATTTTTTCAAAGCTGTCCCACAGGCTAAAGGTACTCTGTTGAGTTTCCAAACATTAGTAGGTTTAATAAGCAATTTTATATGATCCCACTCTGGTTTGGAAAGCATATATAAACAAGTAAAACCTCCCACGTGTGCAAGCAGAATTTAGAGTTTGTGCAAAGTCCAAAGGGCAGTTTCAAGTGATATTCGTTGATATACAAAGCAGGTTCCACACTTGGCACAGTTTCCCCTCTACATGTGCTAACTCTCACATAAAACAGTATAACCTGCCTCTTATTGAGGTGATACTCTAAGCAAATAAGATACAAAAACTATAAGAACTCCATCAATATTTCCTGGAAATGTTCAGTGAGGATATAGATTTGCCAAGACCTTACAACCTGGCAACCCAAAGCTTGTGCTTCTTAAAGTTTTATTACTGATTTTGTAAAGCATTTAGTAATGTTTAAAAAAAACCAATTAGATTCTTTATCTTTTTTTTATTTTAGAAAAAGTAAAATTTTATTTAAAGGTACGTATTTAAAATCCACGCTATTAGAATAAAAAAACTTCTGAAATGAACTGAAGCCATCAAATAATGTGGGGAAAAAAACAAATACTATGACTTTATCGACGTCATCTCTGTATTAACCCCAAAAAGCCTGAACCAAGAAATAACTGCCAGAAAATTCAAATGTTTTGAGAGTGTTTATTCAACCGTACTTTTCATTTTTTACAAAAAAGAAGTGAAATATCAATTTGCATATACGAGTTATAATTTATTGCTACAACTGGCATTTTTATGCAATTTATTGCTTAAATTTTTATTGTGCAGTTTATTCCGGTTTTTCAGGAAAAAATAAATCACACTGATAATGTAAAGGTCTAAAAAGCTCATGTATCAATTATGATATACTTGGCATTACAGGGTTAAGTTAAAATAAGGCCCAGCCGTACTTTCACGCAATGCACATTTGTTCCACAAGATGGTGCTGAAATAAATGTAACTTTATAACTTGTAAATCAGGTCAATCATTACGAAAACATTCCTATTTGCAATGGTAGCCTGCAAAAGGCAACACAATAAAAAACATAAAAAATGAAAAGAACGACACCTCCGTAAACATTT